TGGGATGGGTATCATGTCACCGATTAAGAGACTCCTTTCAAAAGGCTTCTAGCTGGGGAGTACCTGGGAAGGAGGTGGTGGCCCTGGAGGCCAGGTCCTGCCCAGAAAGTCATTTCTTCAGCGCACCCAGGCTCCTCAGGGCCTCCTGAGCCTGGCTCAGCTGCTGCTGTAGCCTCTGGCGGGTGCTCTCGTTGAAGGCCCGCTTTAGGAGGCCCTGCATCTCCTCCACCACCGCACGGTGGCCGGGGGCATTGTGGAAGAGTCGCACTGCCCGGTCCCCGCAAGAGGCCAGAAGCCGGCCCGTAAGGTCAAAGGACAAGTCAGTGATACACTCCCCGTGGACCTGTTCAAAGCGCTCCTCCTCCTCGCCTCGCCGGGTGTTGTACAGGCAGATGCTGGTGCCGCTGGCCAGAGCCAGGACCTGGGCGTCGGGGGAGAGAGCCAGGCGGCACGACATGGTGCCTGCCTCGGCATAGCGGCCTGTCCTCAGCAAGAAGGGGTCCTGCTGCTTCTTGTATTCCACGTCTGTGTCCCAGAGTCTCCACGTGCCGTCCTTAGAGACAGAGGCCATCCTGCAGCAGGGAAAAGCATGGCTCTAGCAGCCCCCAACACACGAGGAGCAGAATGGGTTACGAGTTGGGCTGCTAATGGCAAGGGCCGTTGTTCAAAACAGATCAGCTGCTCTGCCAGAGAAAGGCGAGGATTTCTAGACCTAGTAATCATTTTGGAAACCCCCACAGGCAGTTCTACAGGGTCTAACTGGGGTGCTATGAGTGGGAATCAACTTGATGGTGAGTCTGAGAGCCCTCCCCCACCCTCGAACCACTGCAGGAAATAGGCAGAAGGACCACTGGTCAAGAATCAGAAACGTGGCGCTCACCTCCGGGAGTCATTGGAGAAAGCGAAGAAGTGGACAGCCGCTGAGTGGCCCTTCAGTTCAAAGGCTCTCGTGACCTCCTGGAAGTCCCCCTTTTTTCCGAAGCAGACTTCCCAAACCTTCACATCCGGGGTGAAGCCACAAGAGGCCACAAACCTGCACCCAATCCCAAGCTCCTTTAAGACTTTATCAGGCAGAAGGTTTCTGCAAATCCACTAAACCCGTTTCCCAAGACAATGAACACTATCTCATCCATCCACCCAGCAACCCATGCAACACAGTATCTTCTAGAAAGTGCTGCCATGTTCTAGAACTCGACTGAAGAGATGGTGCCCTGCATGAAGCCAAAGCATTAGAAGGGGGAGCCTGGAGCCTGGAGCACACCCTGTAGGATTTTCTTTCCACTACTGGAAGTGGTCTCCTGGCTTGACCCTCCTGCCTCACCTGCTACACGGGGAGATGACAGCATGCGTGTTGTTCATCTGGTTGGTGTTGATGGTGGACAGCACCTGGCCTTTCAGGCTCCAGATAAGGATGGTAGTGTCCTTGGAGGCTGTCATGATGAACTTCCCTGCAGGGAGAGGTGGTGGTGACAGGCACTGGGAGGGCAATGGCCCAAGGGGCTGTTATCCTCCATGGAGCCTTGGAGAAGGATCTCCGATGCCCAGAGCCAGGCTGTTCAGCGGCAGAGTACCCTGTCGCACAGGGCTGAGCATTAACGCCTTCAGCCATGCCCCCAACTGCCAAGGGAGGGCTCCACTCTTGTCTCACCTGTGTCAGCAATGCCAATGTTGACAATGGGCGCCTTGTGCTTTTTGGGGAAGTCCTCTGGGGCAGCTGTGAAGGTGTAGCCCCCATCTTCTCGCTTGGTCATCTTGAAGACACGGAGAGTCTCCCCATTGGCCAGCCAGACGATGAAGGCTCTAGATACAGGGAGCAGACAAGTCCTGCTCTCAGGGGGACATGGAGGCCTCTGGGCGCCAGGCGCTCTGCTAGGGTGGTGTGTGTATGTGTATCGCTTTCCCCTCCTGCCCAATAGTTGGGGGTTCCAAATTAAACCGCTGGCTTCTCGGAAGGTGTGTCGGGAGCCAGGACTCTCAGAGCTCCTTTGCTTTCTTCCTAAAATTCAGGAAACGACTCTCGCTTCCAGGAATCCCATGGGAGCACGCTGCGGCACATCCTCGTTGCTAAGTCCCAGGCAGTGCACCCGCCAGCACCCAGATGCTGTCGGCCACCTGCAGGGAGATCCTGGCTCACCCTCATGACCCCCAACCAGAAATGGGATGAACCGACGCCTGAGGCTGGGTGCCTGCAGGCAAGCCTGAGGGTGTGCCCCATCCCACCTGCAGTCGGGGCTGAAGCGCACCAGGGTGGCGTGGTCCAGCTCCACATTGGCCCTCATGCTGCGGTGCTCCCGCTGCAGGAAGTCCTTGGTGCTCCAGATGCGGACCGTCCGGTCATCGGCACAGGTGGCCAGGTACTTGCCATTGCTGCTAAAGTCCAGGCAAGAGATGCTCCCACTGTGGCTCTGGGAAAGAGGGGCAGGGAGTGTGAACAGAATCCCCTTTAACAGCCCATAGGCTGAGAACGGCAGGAGGGGTGTGGGTGGCGCATCCCCAAGGACTTGGGTGTTCTAAGGAGTCTGCAACATGCATGACCCACTCACAGGGAAAAGCTGGGATGCGTACACGCATGTACCTGTGCGTGTGAGTGCGTGTGCCTGGGTACCCACATACCTTCAGTGCCGCAGCCAGGAGCCGGTGAGTGAAGGCATGTGGCTGACGCTTCTCCTTGCGAAGCCGCTGCTGCTGTTTCTGCTTCTTGGAGCCCAGAGCTTTGTCAGCGGGCAGTCCATTTGCTTTGTGGCCTAGAAGAAAGGGCCACGTCATTCACCCACTTCCCTAGTCCAGGAAGCGTGTCCTGGTCACCCATGATATGCTGTTGTCTGGGGTGGGGACTGACTCCCCAAAACCACTTGGCTCACTGAAATATCAGAGGATCAGGTCAACCCAGAGGAACCAGGGCGGAAAAAGCCTGGCCGATGGCTTGTGGTAAAGCAGCGATGGGAGTCCAGTTCTACGAGGACACCCACAGCTGGCTTAGGCAGTAACTGGTTTTACCATCTGCCGAGCCCCGGCTGAGTCCAGAGGGATGAACCAACCGGATGCAGCAAGGACCCATGTCCTTGAGAAGAGAATCCAGACCCAGAAGGTTCTGGAATGACCTGGGTTCAGGTGCTTGGTACCCCAAGGAGTCCTGAGGAGGCTGCTGGCTGCTCAGTCATCTAATCCAAAACACGGGTCCCCTCCCCTAGCAGCTCTGGGGGGCTCACAGCCCAGCACCCTTCAAAACCCCAAACCCACTGGCGACAGGTTGATTCCTACTCACGGCAAACTGAGGTAGGCAATAATGTGTACGGTGGCCTAACTGGTGGGCCTGCCTGCGGCCAAGTTACTATATCCTTCTAGGCCGGGGCTGCCTTATGGAGAGGGTGGGAGAAGCAGGTAACGCTCAGGAGTACCTGCCACAAGCATTCAAGTTCACCGGCTTCCAGGCAATCAGGGATGAGCAGAGCAAGCTATGCTGCTTTCTACTCCTATAAAAAGTTACAGGCTATGGGAAAAATAATCTATAACTCACCAAGGGTTCATGAGGGC